ATTTTTCGTAAGATGAAGCATTCGTAAGTAGAGGTACCACTGTACAATATGACTCCCCATATCTGTAGCATCAATAATTGTGGACTTACTTACCTGTGTATGGGGAAACAAGTCTCCCTAGGCATCTGGAGCTCCTCCAGCGTAACTCTATGGTCAAGCTGTGCCAGACTTCAGTGGAAGTTGGCCACTGAGTTGTGCTGGAGGATCTCCAGGTGCCTAGAGAGACTATCTCTCTAGACATCTGAAGCTTCTCCATCCTGACTCTATGGTCAATGTCTGTTGGAAATATAATGTTGGCTGTTAAGCATGGTTTCACTTATCCAGGGTAACCATGGGAATGGATCCCCCATAGATACAGAGGTTATACTGTAATTGGATCCCAATATATTACAATGGTGTACAGTGCATGCATATGCAAGTTTGTGTGTGTGTGACTTGTTAAAATAGGGTAGGCAAAGTGCAATCTATGTGTAGATAGGGCATTTTTACCACTGTTTTTTTCCTTCCAGACCCAGAAGAGACTTTTTTTCAACAACAGGAAGTGGCATCCAGCCACTTGCTGTTGTTAAAAAGGGCTGCTCATGGGCCTAAAATGGCCCATAGGTAGCCCAAAACATGTTTAAAATGTCCCCCTTGTCCATAGGGTGTTGAAAGGCATTTTGGAGCTAAAAACGTTTGCTTTGTTTTTATGGGGATGCCATTGCAGCGTACAGTCCTCCAAAGTCATCTGGGGGAATGAATGTAGCCCCCTAGCCTCCCACGGCTGCTTACCACTGCTTCAGGAGAAGGAATTGCTCATGGAAAAACAGATATCTAGCCACCTGAACTTCATTCCATACCTTTATGTCTTCTAGGACATCTAGCTGGCTTGCTAGATCTCAGATCCTGGAGTCAGGCTGTTGGTGATACAAAGTAAAATACTAGGGAATGGAAAACATCTTTGTTGGATACAACAGACCTAAAGAAAGCATCCTCTTTGCAACTCCTGAACCATAAAAACTTGAAGATCTGCGAGACTTTCAGGGTGTTTCAGAGAAATGAAATATGCACATAACATTGCAGACATTTTAAAATTCCAAATGTCTAAAATGTGTACAAAAAAAAGTGCAATGGGGAAAAACATTAAGCAAATTATGTGAAATCAATGTGCATAGGAAGCAAAAACAACAACAAAAAAATGAAACAAAACAAAACAAAACCCTAAAATGCATACATTTTCAATTTAGGAAGAATAATAAATAGAGACATATAAGCCACCAGGAAACAAAGGCAGGAAGAAAACAGATGTGGGCTTCTGAGGAATGCTGCGATAGCGGGCCTGAGAGATTTTCTCATCACTCTAATATATGCACATTTAACTTGTAAGTGGGGAATTTGGTCAGTTGGAGACCACTGGATGTATATACTGCATTCCATTTAATCATTGCAATTAACCTTCAAGAAATCATCCCCACAGGTCTGAGAAGTATTTCACTGATATCCTTTCTTTTCCCAATGTGGGTCTCTTTTGTCCTGTCCTTGTCTTTCAAGATGGCCGATTAATCCTAACATGAATTATCTCATCATTACCAATTGTCCTGTGGGTGAAGGAGGTTGGGGAGGGAAAAGCCTCGTAATAGCCCTCCATGGAACGCTTTGCTGTGATCCATCGGCTAAATGGATCCCATCCCTATGACATGAATTCCATTTGCAGCTCATCCCTTTGTCTCATTGACTTGATTGATGGCAGGTAGGAATTGATTGCCAGTTGGGGTCAGGGCAAATCTGCTGACCGCAACCTCTCACGTTGCTATGATGAATCTTATACATTGTCACTGACATTTGTTTTTACCTTCTTCTAGCATGACAAGCCATGGCCCAAAACTGTTCTTTGGGCCCAAAGGTGCCCTGAACATATGTTTCCCTATGTGGCATGGCCAAAGTACTTAGAAAAAAGAAAGCAAGTGCAAATGCCAGCCCAGTAGGAGTGTATTAGCCCTTGGCTATACCTAAGTAGCTCCTTGGAACTTGTGTGTGTGCCTTCAATTCACTTGTGGACTTATGGCAACCCCATTAATTTCATAGGGTTTACTTAGTTTGTTTTTCCAAGCAAAAAGGAAGGATTTCTAATTCTGTCTTGCATGTCCTGGGCAAGATTAAGAAAGATTTTGCACATTTTCTGATGATTATTTTTTGCCTTTAAACTTGCCTTTTAAAAAAAATCTGAATATTTCACAAAAAGTTCCAAAATATGGAAAATTTCATATCAGCTGATCATTCTCTTAACCCTATGCCTTCATGGATTGAGACATCCTTTCTTTTCAAGGATAAGAAAACCTGTCGGTATTCTTTCTATTTCTAGTGGAAATGCTTGAAGTGACACACATTTCTTTTTGCAAAGAAGTTTGGGGAGATGCAAGAAGACACTGGCTAAGATCACAGTCTATGTTGTGTAATGTTGTGCTACATTGCCATAACTATGTTGCAGAGACGCAACTAAAGCCTATCATTGAATTGGAAAGTTGCATAACAGGGCACCGGCAATTGTGCTCCAATGTACATCAGGCACGTCTGGCAAAACACTGGACACTTTTGATGTACATTGTCTTCTTCTAATGCATATCTAGTATGTCTCATGGGCACTGGGTACATCTAATAGGCACTGGGCACTTCTGATGCACAGGGGAACTTCTGATGCACATTGGGAACTTCTGATCTACACTGCATACTTTTGATGCACATCAGACATTCCTATTATGCTCTGGCACTTCCTAGCTGGTGTCTGGATGGTGTCCATTGTTCATTGGGCCATGTCACATCACTTGCGCAACCGTTATGTAATGGTTGCCTGTATGTAGTAATGGCATAGCAGCCTCTAAGTGAATGAAGGTTTTGCCAAGCTTATTTCCTGCACATGTAAGTCCACTTATGGAGATGTAAGTCCCATACTGACTTTTAGCCACGTTTCATCAAGAATCCAAGAAACCGCTTTTCCATCCCAAACAGAATGGAAGCCTTTCTGGCTAAAGAGCGGGGGGATAAATACAACAAACAAACAAACAAAAAATAAATAAATAAAACAAGAAGTGGAGAATGCTGACCTTGTAGTGAATGCTGACCCCTATGGAGATTTTGCCAAGAAAACCCCAAGAACAAGTAATAACAACAATAATCAATATCAACATGGCGGGTGGTGGTGGCAGGACTGGCCTGGGGCGGGTCCAAAGGCCTCGGGGGGCCGCATCCGGCCCCTGGGCCTTAGGTTGCCAACCCCTGTACTAGAGTGTGGCCTCCATTGAAAACATTGGGACTTACTGCTGAGCCAGTGTGCATGGGATCACAGAGTTAATTTGACTCAATGCAAAATATTTCTTCGGGCAACATCGAGTGACCAAATGCCAGTTTCTTCCCTTGGCTTTTCTTTCTAATGCTGCATTTGTAAATGTCAGAGTTATACTCTGCCAGGGGAAGGATGGATTTTCTCTCCTTTGTGGCCTTTCTTGATTTCGTTCACATCCCTTAGAGTGAGTCACACATTTACAAATCTAATGTCATGCATTTGTGTCTTGGATGGTAACCTGAGAGTGACTGTGTCTACTGCTTAATTGCACTTTTCAAAGCAGACACTTTCTTCGATGGCTACGCTGCACACCATTGACTCTGGATGGCTTTTGTTTCTAACCTCTGAAGAACCATCTTGGCATGGCTCAAAACACCATTACAGAGCTGAAAATCTTGCTATTATCTCCTCCGATGTTACTCTCAGGAGTGTTCTCCCCTTGTATCAGTCCCTTGGCTTAGTTTCTCTTGTTGCTTTTCAGTCTTCATACATCGTAGACAGTGTCTCTGGGGCACAGAAACATAAAATCAAATAATTTTACACTTGGAAGAAGACACAGAGGTCAACCTTCTGGTCCATGCTGGCTCTACAGTGGATTTCTGACAGATGACCATCCACTATCTCCTAAAATATATCCAGCAAAGGTACCATACAGAACCAGTGTTGACTGTACACAACCAAAAGGGTCCCACCCTGTCTCCTGCATTCTCTGGTGATCTATCTATCTATCTATCTATCTATCTATCTATCTATCTATCTATCTATCTATCTATCATGGTGTAGTGGTTTGAGTGTTGGACTACAACTCTAGAGACCAGAGTTCGAATCCCCACTCAGTCATGGAAACCCATTGGGTGACCTTGGGCAAATCACACTCTCTCAGCGTCATTGCAATGGCAATCCTCCTCTGAAGAAACTTGCCAAGAAAACCCCATGATAGGTTTGTCTCAGGGTCACCTTAAGTTGGAAACAACTTAAAGGCACACAAACTCTATCTATCTATCTATCTATCTATCTATCTATCTATCTATCTATCTATCCTCTTTATACCTCTCCTGTCTGTCTTCAAAACCAAAACTCAAGACAGATCAACCAAAAGAATTAAAAAAACAGGTGCAATCAAAAGAAAAAAGAAGTTGATGTCATGCATTTCACTTTGCAAATCACTTCTTATTGTGCAACACTTGCATGGTTGCATGTGGCTGTGCATTGTGCATTGCACCTCAAACCATAACATGCACTGGGTTATACAAAGTTGCAATTCTTTAATAATAACATGAGGCAGTTTAACTCCATAAGCATAAAGTTATCCTACATCTTATTTATGCAGTATAGCAATAGTAATAGCAAGTACATTTCTATACCGCTTATCAGTGCACTTAAGCACTCCCTAAGCTTAAGGTTTACAATGTGTAAGCTAATTGCCCCCAACAAGCTGGGTATTCACTTTAGCAACCTTGGAAGGATACAAGTCTGAGTCGAGCCTGAGCCCCTGACTGGGATTGAACTCACAACCTTATGTGAGTAAGTGGCTGCAGTACTGGCATTTAACCACTGTGCTACCAGGGCTCTTTCCCAATTAATTAAAGGATCTTGGGCTGCAGGTGAAAGGGATTTTACCCACGTCTATGACATCAACAGGATTATGACTATTAAGTATGAATTCCTCTTCTCCTCAATTATCCAGTCTCCCTGGAGCAAGCTTTACTCATGCAACCATGAATCAAATACCCCAAGCTTGGGATCCTGTTGGTTAGTGCTGACTAGACTAGAATGCTGGGTGTGTGTGTGTGTACGCGTGCGCACCTTCAAGTTGCCTGTCAACTTATGGTGACACCATTAATTTCATAGGATTTTCATAGGCAAGGACTCAGAGGTAGTCATTGGTGGCTTCCCATCCAAATACTAACCAGGGCTAAGCTTGCTTAGTTTATAAGATTAGATAGGATCCAATGCCTTTAGGGTATTTAGGCATTAGGTAAATACGGATGATTCAATGGCTCTACTCTAGCTGTGATGTCCATCACTCAACAGCCAAGATACTGCAGCTGCATGTTTAGGGGAACTTATAAGATGTGTATGATACTAGCATGATTCTTTTCTGGGAAATGTTCATGCCCCTACTCTCCCATGGCAAAACCACCTCTGAGGATTCCTTGCCCAAGAAAACCCTATGAAATTTATTAGGTCACCATAAGTTGATTGATGACTTGGAGACATGTGCATGTACGCACACACCCACACCCTCATGTTCTCTCTCTCCCAGAGCTACCAGGAGTGAAATGTGCACAAAAGGAGAAAATCATGCACTATGCTGACTTGAGAGTGTAGTGTAGTGGCTTGAGTGCTGGACTAGGACTCCAGGAGATGAGGGTTCAAATCTCCCCTCAACCATGGAAACCCATTGGGTGACAGCCTCAGAGGAAGGCAATGGCAAGTTTCCCCTGCACAAATATTATCAGGAAAACTCTGTGATAGGTTTGCCTTAGGGTTGCCAAAAGTCAGAAATCACTTGGAGGCACACAACTACAACAATGCTAACCCGTAAGAAACCTTTATTTTAGTTGTTAATTACAACCACAACCCCCTTGTTGTGAATGATGGCATGCTTCTTCTGTTTTTGAGCCAAGCATAAATTCATTTCCTTTGGAGTTTTTACTCAAGGATAATTTGGCCAGAGTCTCTTGCTCCTGAATGGCCCATCCCTTCATCCCAGTCTGATCCCACAATGCTTTGTCATCAAAACCATCACCCCTGAAGTCGGTCCCTTTGGACTGACTGCTCCAATAATAGATTCCCCTTGCTGCCCTTGATGGGATAATCCATCTCTAACAACTGCTATTGTAAGTCAATCAAAGTGTCAAGTTAACTCTTACCTTTTGTTACATCTTAAACCCCTGTAATCCCAGTGCTCATTGCTGCATGTTAAAATCAAGCTCCTGTTGTCTTGTCTCCCTTGATGCCACCTCATCTCACTTCAGAGGCACAGTGAACTGAAGGTCTGGGGCTTTGGATGGTGTCAGCCAAGCAGGACACTTTTGACAGAAATAATTAATGGGGGCGCTTAGTGGGAATTGGGATTTTCTATTTAGAATGTCTGGGTTTCAGAAAAAAAATTATCTCTTGGACAAAGCTAAGCCAAAGTGGTAAAAACCAGAAATGTAGAATATACCAGTGTCCTAAAATAGAGTCCCTGCACAATCTCACCTTACCTTTTGGTACCTGTTCTACAATGAATGGAAATAGAAGATGGTGGTTTGGCTTGTCTTTCAGGGTAGGTAGAGTTCTTAATGGGAGATGGTCTTTTAGGATAGGTGGAGATCAAAATGTTGGGCATGGAACTCCATCAAGAGTGGTGGCATCTCTCATCCCTATAGTTGCCAGCATCCCTGGTCTAATTCACTGGGAGAGGAGACAAGCTGTATGCGTAAGTGGCAGTCCAGAGGTCAAGAAGCTGAGAATCAGTCAGTAGCCATGAAAACCAAAACAGGCAGAAGGGTATGCAAAAGAGTAGTTAGGGTCCTGTTCCAAAGGTTTGGATAGCAGGGCATAGTCTTTGTCTTTGTCTTGGGAGTCTTTTCCACAGAGTGGGAAATAGACATTGCTTCCAGTGGCTGATGAGTGTTTGCTGCATGCTTTATCTAGGCAGCTCCAGCTGCCTCAAACACTCTTCTACTGCTGCTATCCCGAGGGAGACATAGAATCATGGAATCATAGAGTTGGAAGAGCCCCCAAGGGTCATCCAGTCCAACCTCCTGCCATTTAGGAATCCACCATCAAAGTGCTCCCCAACAGATGGTCATCCATCCTCTGTTAAAAACCTCCCAAGAAGCAGACTCCACTAGTCTCTGAGGCAGCATCTTCCTCTGTGAAACAGCTCT